TGGGACGCTGGACCCGGTTTCCAGCAGGTGCTGCTCCCCACCAATAGATGGAGAAAAAAAAAAAAAAAAAAAAGCTCCTCCCTAACCCAACTTGTGCTGAGAACTGGGTTCCTCCTCGGCGGGCTCCAGGGGGGACCTCCTTATATGAGTGTATGAGAATGTATGAGAATGTGGGTAATGTTAGGTCGTGAGGTTGGGTATTTTCAAGACGGGATTTCTGCCAGGGAAAGAGCGTGGGGTGGGAAGGGGTCTGGGAAATCAGAGGGAGGCCTTAATGGGAACGAAGGCTCTATGTTTGTCCAATCTTTGAAGATTAGGCGGTCGTCTCTTAACTCTTCCAAATCCCGCTGTCCGTTTCCTTTATCTCCACTCCACTCCACTCCACCTTGGCAATCCATCCTCCTTCTCTCTCCCCACCTACCTAGTTTATGCGAAATGTTGTAATCCCTCTCCTGACATCGCCATCAACCTTCAATGTCGCCGAGTTTCTCCTAAGACAACTTGGTTCCCTGAAGCAATATGATTTGGACTCTGTGTGGATGGAACCAGGTTTTAAGCCTCGACTTCTTTCTCCTGTCGTTGCTATCTCCCACTCCCCTCACATTCCAGAAGGCGATTCTGATTTTGCTATTTATTGGATATGGACAAGCCACCTCTGGGTGGGATAGGTGTGTAGGTGTACCAGTGCTGTGTTGGCCTGTGGTTTTGGCCCATGGGGCCTCCAGCGCTTCCTTGAAGTTTTTGGAAGCAAAGTTCTTTGCACATGTGAGCTTCTTGTGGATTATGCCTAAGTAGTCTCCCCTGATGCCATCGAGTCATTGGGTTAACCGAGCTTTTAACTCCAATTCTCTTTTGGACGTCGAACGAAGTCAGGATGTTACATGCAGCGCGTGCACACACGGGCCATTTTGCAGGCCCGACTGGATTCAGGCCAAAACCCTGGATTTCAGGCCCAAAGCCTGAAATTCAGGGCTTACAGGCCCCATTTCGGTTCAGGCCGAAAGCCTGACTTTCAGGGCCTACAGCCCCTGCGACGGTTCAGACTAAAAATGGTAATAACATTTTTAGCCTAAACCCAAGGGCCATTTTCAGTCGTTCATCAGAACGACCGGCCCTGAAACTCAGGCACCGAACCAGGGTTTTGGGAACAGCCTATATTTAGACTGTTCCCACGCCTGCCTCAAGCAGGTTGCTGCACGCCAGCCCCTGGCACACTTCGGCATTGGCAAGAGCTGCCTCCTCGGCCTGCTCGCCCTCCTGCAGTCAGGAGGCAGGCCGAGGAAGTACATAGGACTTCCCAGGCACTTCCGGGGTAGGCAGTTCGGCAGTTGTAGTCTTAAGGATTCGGGAGCAGCACTCTGGAGGGAGCGCTACGTTGTAGTAGAGTAGCGTTAGCTAGTAGTCTTCAGTGTTGGGCGCAGTAGGTAGCTGTAGCCTTCGGCGCTGGGCGCCATAGCTAGGTAGTGGTACAGATGATGGGCGGAGGCCAGGGATCACTTACCTGCAGCGCCGTTGCTCCAGCTTCGTCTTCGAGGTACCTGCAGCACAGCGCCGACATTACACGTTAGTACCTGGTTCGTAACAATAAGAGAGAGAGAGTTCTCTTCTTGCTCTTCTTAGTCCCCCATCTTCTTCTTACCCTCTCAACTTCTGACTTCCCTGCAGTTGCAGACTACGAGAAAAGAGATACCGGGTTTGGTGACATATGATCCAGACTCGACTTTTTGGGGGTTCGGACATGGCAACGAGGGACTATTTGGGATTGGTGACCAAGACTTGGTGTTAACGACATTCCCATCTTCTTCCCTCCTTTTRTMTGTTCCTTATCTCTTMGTCTGTGTATGTCTGGACCTGGCGCTTTCTTCCTATGTGTAGCGCCAGACTCCTTCACACTTCGTGATGGATACAATGCATGTTTAGTCTGAGTTCAAACATTGATTGGGCTAGTTAGAGGTACTCTAGCATTYTGCTTCGTTACTCTSAACTACGTGAWTGAGGTCAGTCCTGTCAGGTCAGTTTTTGTATCAAAGTCTTCCCTGCGCTCTTCAGCATCTTTATGTATGAATGAGAATGTACATTGCTTGTCGAGATYCTACTCGTACCGCATTGTCTATTCAGTCYYTTTCATCACATTGCASATTCTCGGTTTATTACGTACATTGCATATCTGTGCATGTAACAGTTGGTATCGGAGCTTTTGCACGTGAATCAGGACGATCTGATCTGACACGTGTGCGAGGATCGAAAAGCTAGTTAGTCTTTTCTGTTTGATTAGGACATACTAGTTAGACCCCAAAATCACGATCTTGACCTTACTACAAAAAAAATAAAATCAAAATCAAAATTTTTTTCTTTCCTCGGATTTTATTTTCTCGCTATTCTGCTGTGGAAAATCGCTATATCGCAACATCTGAAATTCCTATTTTCATTTTTCTGTCTGAAAATTCAAAATTTCGTTGTTCCAGAATATATTTTTTTTTGAAAGTTTCGATTTTCTGTTGCATTCCCGTTACTTAGAACTTCGGAATATCTTCTTTTCCGAAATTCATTTTTCTGAAAACGGTACGGGAAATACCTCCTGCACATATTTTGTTTTTTTTTTCAAACTGCGAATATTCCCATCGGAATAAACCCGAATACGTCAACAGGCCACGTCAACAGGCCACGTCAGCAGACCACGTCAGCAGGACACGCTTGCAGGCTATGTAAGTACGTCAGCAGACCACGTCAGCAGGCTACGACAGTAGGACACGTCAACATTGCCACGTCAGCAGCAAGGGATACCACATCAGTAGGCACCGGTCTGGTCTATGATGTTGCATTCACAGACAGCAGTCATGGACCAGAAGGCCGGGGAAACAGACGAGGCCTATTAGGCCCGCATGTTAGCCTGGAGTACCGAGACAAAGAAGCGGGCAGATGATGCTGCCGCAGCAGCCAAGAAAAGGGCAGAGGATGCCGAGCAGACACGTCTGCTGGCCGTGCAACAACAGCGCCAGTACGACGAGGCAGCAGCAAGGGCTGCCGATGAAGAAAGGACATAGCGTCGTGAGAAGATATTCACCGGAGAGCGGGCATTACTTACCATGGCAGCAGAATGGCGAAGCGAGGCCGAGAACAGCCAGTTGGAGGACAGCGCAAACAAGATAGCGCTCCTCCTCTCGCATCTCACAGATCTCCTGGCAACCTGCATTACACAGCAGGCGGAGATCCTTGGTCTCGACAACTCGGTAGCTCAGCTCCAAGACCGCCTTCAGCGGGTGGAGCAGCGACCAGTCGCCGCCGTCGACGCAGGCTCTTCCAATACTGCCGACCGCCTCACCGCATTGGAGATGCACGTCGGCTCCCTCCAGGACGGCGCACAGTTACAGCAGACCTCGACGCAACAGTTGCAGCAGCGGATCTGCACTACCGCCACTACCTCGAGTCCGGAGCCGCGCAAAAGTTCGATGGGCAGGAGATCTTCCACGACTCAATCAAGACAGATCCAATTCCATGGTTTCGCAAGTTCGAGCTCACGCTGCAGCTCCACGACGTCAAGGAAAACAAGCACCACGCTTGCTTCTAGTCTCGCTCAGGGGGCGCGTGTCAGGCGTGGTTGGACAACTTGTTGTCCAAGTACGGAGTGGTAGCAGCGGACTTGCACACCATGATCAGCTGGGATGATATGAAGGCGGCATGGCACAAGTGGTTCCAGGTGGAGCCGCCAGAGATCAAAGCCATGGACAAGCTCATGGTCTTCGAGCAAGGCACGCTGCCGAGTACGGACTGGATCGCCGAGTACCAACGCTTGACGTCAGTCCCAGACATCAAGATGGGCTTCAAGGCCATCCGCCACTACTTCATCTCAAGATCATGTCCGACATTGAGCAATGCCCTGGCGCATGTCGAGGACACCTTGACGACGACGGCGAAGTTATTTGACAAGGCTGCGCAGATCATCGTCACGAACAAGGAGGCCAAGAACCTCCGTTCATCTGCGTCAGGCCCGAGCGGGAACCAGCATTGGCCACGAGTGGCCGTGGTCGCAGCGGCAGCGCCGTTAGACCAATCCAGCGAGGTTGCGTCTGCCAGTGAAGGGGACAGATTCGCAGCCGCCCGGGAAGGTGGCCGCCCCAGCAGAGGCCGAGGTCGYGGCAAGCCGAAGACACACACCGTTTCTAGCCCCGGGCCCGGTGCAGCAGCTCAGACAGGCCCATGGACCCCGTACGGCATCTCCGAGTCCGCCTACAAGGCGCGCGAGAGATTCCACTATTGCCTTTGGTGCAACAACGATCTTCATCAGACGCAGGTTTGCCCGTTGAAAGGCAACGGCAGACATGGAAACTGAGCACCGCCAAGAGTGACGCGACGACACTCTCGACGCCTTCGGAACTGGTTTCTTCGCGAGTGACCAGCGTTCATTCCGAGGCGCACGCGGAAGTGGACAGTCCTCCGTTTCTATTTTCTTTTGAGGACTATGCTGCCCGGCTCGTTCCAACGCTGGGTACTCAAGCTCAAGGACAAGGAGTGTGTGCGGTTTCTTCTCCGTCCGGCAACAGCGACATATCGTCTTCAAGTGGTTCGTCACGGGATTCGGCGCGCGAGTTCAAGATAGAGGTTTTGGATCCGCTCACGTCTGAGGATTTTGCATAGCTTCCTCTCCCGACCACAGGCTGTTTGTCGGGACCGCAATGCGCAGCACTATGCGCTCATCTCCACACTTACCTTTCCTTCTATGCACTACCAACTTCGCCGACGGAGGACGAAGTCGCGGTGGGGGACATCCTGGCATACGCTACCAAGGTGGCCCGCGAGTTTCGCACGCAGCGGTACGATAACAACAATGCACCGCTCATGTATGTCCGCATCCAGGTTGGGCAAGCGTCCTGCAGCGCTTTGCTGGATAGCGGCGTGACTCGCAACTTCATGAGCCAGTCTTTTATGCAAAGAGTTGGCCTTGGCGCACAAGTTCGGAGAAAGGCAAACCCGAAGTTGGCGGATGGAAAAACGCAACAACTACTCGACCGTTACATCGAGGCCCTACCGATCTACTTCGCACCTCATGCATGCGAACCGGTGACGTTTGATATTCTCGACACGGACTTCGACATCATTCTGGGAATGCCTTGGCTTGCAAGTGCGGATCACACGGTCAACTTCCATCGGCGGACTCTTAGCGTTCGCGATGCCTTCGGCGCGGAAGTGGCGTGTACGATTCCTCTACCGCACTCTTCGATCCGGTGCCAAGTGGTGACGACCAAATCATTCCGGGCGACTTGTGCTTACGAGCAGCCCGAGGAGATCGACATATGTTTTCTACGGACTGTCGCGGTAGCCGACTCTTCACCCACAGACTTGTCTTCGGACCCCCGTGTGGTACGGTTGCTGGACGAGTTCGCCGACATCTTTGAGTCACCTACCGGTGTGGTGCCGGGTCGGCCGATCTCTCACGAGATCATTCTTGAGGCTGGTGCCGTGCCGTCGAAAGGTTGCATCTATCGGATGAGCGAGGAGGAGCTTGAGGTACTCCGCGCACA